CTCCCACTGACACTAATCCCACTCCCACCGACACTAATCCCGCTTCCACCGACACCAATCCCTCTCCCACCGACACCAATCTCACTCCCACCGACAGTAATCCCTCTCCCACCGACAGCAATCCCCCTCCCACCGACACCATTCCCTCTCCCACCGACACTAATCCCTCTCCCACTGACAACAATCCCGCTCCCACCGACTCCAATCCCGCTCCCACCGACAACCAATCCCGCTCCAACCGACACCAATCCCCACACTGACACCAATCCCACTCCCACCGACACCAATCCCACTCTCACTGACACCAATCCTGCTCCCACCGACACCAATCCCGCTCCCATCGACACCAATCCGCACACTGACTCCAATCCCGCTCCCACCGACACCAATCCCGCTCCCACTGACACCAATCCCACTCCCACCGACACCAATCCCGCTCCCACCGACACCAATCCCACTCCCACCGACACCAATCCCACTCCCCCGGCACTAATCCCACTCCCACCGACACTAATCCCGTTTCCACATGACACTAATCCCACTCCCACTGACACTAATCCCGCTCCCACTGACACCAATCCCGCTCCCACCGACACCAATCCCGCTCCCAACGACACCAATCCCGCTCCCACCGACACTAATCCCGCTTCCACATAACACTAATCCCACTCCCACTGACACTAATCCCACTCCCACCGACACCAATCCCGCTCCCACTGACACTAATCCCAATGGCACTGACGAATTCCAACTCCCACCGACACGAATCCCGTTTCCATCGACCTTAATCCCACTCCCGACGATCGTTATCCCACTCTCCTTGGCCCTAATCCTACAGCCACTGACCCTGCTTCCACTGACAGCCCTAACCCCAGCTGAGCTCTCACTGCCACTTCCTCTAACCCTGCTCTATTTGACAGCTCCCATTCGTACTGACACATGCACCATAGTGACCTGAATCCATTTTCCAATTTGTTTAGTTAAGCCTGTATCTTGGAAGTTCACTCAAACTGTCATTAACTTGATGACAGACGGCAAAGAAATTTATCGTCCTCCTTTCACCAGCTATATGACAGGTGCCAGAATCTGAGCTTTCTTTCTCCAGTTTTATATGCATCAAATGTCAATTGCACAACTCACCTGTAATATCCTTGGCAGAATAATGTTGAGCAAACGTGCGTGTAATTGCTGTTAATATTTTTGGTTTGACCGCAGAAATTTGCTGCCTGAGTAGTTCATTAAATTGCCTTGGATGATTGTTTCAACATCCTGCTTAAAGAAAACAAGAATTTGTATTTATCTCGTCGCTCCCACTGTTGCATGTCTGAAAGCATTTTGCAGACAATTAAGTATTCTCAAAGTGGAGTCACTGTTGTAATGTCAGAAATTATTAACTAATTTCCACACAGAAAGATGCCACAGCCAGCATATTAATAAAGACAAGATAATTTGCAATTAAACGTGCTTATTGAGGGATTAATGTTGGCTAACACACTGCAGAGAACAACTCTGCAGATGCAGGGCAGTACTGAGGGAGTGCTGGTCAGTCAGACGTGCCATATTTCGCAGCACTGCCTCAGTACTGCTCTGGCTCTGCCCGGATTAGATGGTCAAATCAGGATGTTCAGAGATGTTCATTAGATGTTCAATCAGGAAAAAATCAGAGTTAACGTTTCGGTCCGGTGATCCTTCCTCAGAACTTCCTCAGTTCTGAGGAAGGGTCACTGGACCCAAAATGTTAACTCTGATATTTTTCTCCACAGATGCTACCAGATCTGCTGAGGTTTTCCAGCAAATTCTATTTTTGCCCCTATTCCTATCCTCTTGTGTTTCTATGTTTCTATGTGTTAACAAAACCCAGGCACCTTACTAATGTAAATAGACACAAATGATCACTGAATAATCGTATTTTCAATTGGGCAGGACTCCAGCAAAACAATGAAGACAGGGCTGACAGGAATAAAAATGTCAGGCTATGGTTTTAGGATTAAACTGATGGATCCCAGATCCATTTGGTGCGCTCTAAGTTAAATTGAGGAAAATTCCTAATAGATATTAAAGTCAAACCTCATTGGCTCCTTATAGTATTAAAGTCAGATTGCCACAGTGGCTTGAATGTAGTCCAGAGGGCTGGAGTTTTGTTTTCAATCTGTTTTTTCTCCGACAGTTTCTCACATGCGTAGCACTGGGCAGCCAGGCTTATAAGCAGCAGAAACAATTCCATTGCCGACAGGACTCAGCCCAATTCCAGTAGAAACCAGCCCCAATACCAAGAAGAGTCAGCCCAGACTCCAGTAGAAACCAGCTCCAGTACCAGCAGGAGCCATCCCTGACTCCAGCAGAAGTCCTTGCCACATTGCGCATGAAGTTGCTGTAGCTGTCTGACCAGTAGAACTGCATGTGGCTGGGACTCCTGTGGTTGAGAGAGACTGATAGCACCTCATTGTGAGAAAGACAGACTGACCTCCTGCTGCAGGCCCACAGATTGGCCATCTGTTCTTTACTTTTGCATTCCTGGCCAATGACGGCAATGCAAATGCGACAGCAAAGAAGGTACAAAGCCATTTGCTTTCCCTCCTTCTCCTGCCAGTTCCTCAGCAGCCCCCCTCCACAGAAGTTTGAGGTTGCTGCCTCAGGTTTTATTTTTAGAGAGGGGTCTTGAACTTGCAGGTACACTTCAGATTTCCTCAACGAGCCTCTGACGCAGTTTATTTAAGGAAGAACCTGCATTTCTGTCGCACCTTTTTATATTCAAAGGATATCCCACGATCCCAGTGAAGCACTAGTGCTGGGTCGTAATTGTAAACGCAACAGCCAATCTGTGCACAGCAAGCTCCCACTAACATGATAATGGGCAGATAATATTTGAGTGATATTGATTTTTTTTTGTGATTTTAAGGTAGAAGAATGCTGTATTTGACTGGTTAAGCGACCTGGATTGTAGAGTGTTGTTAGGATGACCCAGTGTGTTGTTCGCTGGTGAATTTCTTTCCTACTCCAGGGAAGCTGAAGGAGAATCCGAGCAGAAGTATCAGCAGTTATGAGGGATTTTGATAGAGCGACTGCAGTGTTCAGTTGTTCAATCTTTGATTATGTGAGTCTGTTTACTAATGAGGCTCCTATTTAGAAGTTGCTGGAAGAAATAACTATAATCGTGGAACAGACAGTTTAAAATACTGTGAACAAAATCTGCTCCACACCTAGAGACTCGTATCATTGTTAAATGGCACCATGATCATAAAAACCCCAGAGTATGGAAGCAGGCCATTTGGACCATTGAGTCCGCACCAACCCTCTGAAAAACATCCCACGCAGACCTACCCCCTCTACCTTGTCCCTGTTACACTGCATTTCCCATGGCTAATCCAACGTGCCTGTGCATCTTTGGACTGAGGGGAGAAACCTAGAGCAGCCAGAGGGAATCCACACAGACACAGGGAGAATGTGCAAACTCCACACAGATTGTCACCTGAGGCTGGAATTGAACCTGGGTCCCTGGAGCTGAGAGGCAGCAGTGCTAGCCACTGAGCCACCCCAATATAAAGCATTCAGAAAAGTGATGACAAGGTTGATAGAAAAAGTTGTAAAGTTATTGACTCCTGCATTGTTTGTTTCTTCACTGAGAGATACACCCATGATGTGGGATCAATCCATTTTCTAATCAACCTGCTCAGAGATACTGTTACATGCTCTGGAGCAAATGGAATTTAATGTTTTAGCGAAGATCAGCTCAGGTTGTGGCTGGAGTTGTTGGTTGGTTCGCTGAGCTGACTAATTGGGACTTGAGCCCAGAACTCCTAGCTGAGAGGTAGGGACACTACCACTGCATCAATGAACACCACAGCCCCCAATCTGCGATAACAAGGTGTAGAGCTGGATGAACACAGCAGGCCAAGCAGCATCAGAGGAGCAGGAAGGCTGACGTTTCGGGTCTGGACCCTTCTTCAGAAAATGGC